CATATAATGAAAGTACTAGTATAGATTAAAAAAAAAAAAAAAATTAAAAAGAGAAAAAAAAATAAAGAGAATCCTAGAAACTTCAAAGGTAACTGAGAAATAGTACTCCCTTTTGACATGGGATTAATTTTTAGTCACTCATTCTGTTCTCACTGAGGCCTTGGACAATGAATTCAATAAAAAAACAAATACTTAATAGTACACATGATGCAATGTTTTATGAACAAATGCACTGGCCAGGAATTTATTACATACATACATACATACATACACAATTCCTTCCAGACACACCAGTACCCAACTACATATGAGCTTCAGTCCATGCCACAGTCTAATACTCATTAAGTCTATCACTTATACTAAATTTTCATGGTAAAAAAAGCACACACTCAGTAGCCAGTAACAACAAGACTACACCATTAACAGCATTCTAGGAGCACTGTGCTACCTATTTCTTTGCCAGATTTCCACACTTTATTACAGAATTTCTCTTGCTCTTTCTTTAAGTTGATATGTGCTACACAACGGTAATTATGATCACTGATTAAACTGAAGATCCAAAGCTGCAAGAAAAAGAAAAATCAATTGGAGTAACTTTTTGGCATTAAATATAAAGCTACATGAATACAAACTAAAGACACAATATTTAAAACCATGGATGGATGTAATTACTGAACTTTTGTACATGGCATCTCACCTTAGACAAGAACTCCAATTATATGTATTTGTAAGACTGTTAAGGATAATCAAAGATAATATATTCAAAATTAGTAAAAGCAGGAATGACCAGTTTGAACTGTACATCTAATTCTCACATGTTTATATGTTCTGAAAAAAGATACTTATAGACTATTTCCCACAATTAAAAATCACAGGTAACATGCATGTAATTGCTCACTGGGTCACGTGAATAAATTTCATTTATACCTTTCTTGGCTTAGACACCACTACAGTTAAGACTTTCATTTTCTTCAAAATTACTGAACAGTAACACTGAGGAAAAACATCTGTAAGCTATCACACAAATATATTCTTACCATTAAAGAAGAGGTGAAACAGATATTCACATTTACCACATTTTTATTAGAATTCCCACATGCTGAAATCATAGCCTCTTCCATTTAACTGTCATGCATTTCTTATTTTGGCCAAAATAGGAGAATCCTATTTTTCACCTTTTTTCTTTTAAAACAGATATATTTATAGCCTCTCAGTGTTTTCAGGAAAAAGTTTCTGTTATGTAATAGAGGTCTTATTTGCCATTTATGGTTTACATTAGAAGCAGTGAATTATGCTTACTAAAATAACTCTTTTAACAATTCAAAAAATTTAGGTAGCTTGTGTACCTTTATTATAGACAGAAGCATCAGTAATAGTTGACTCTTGACATAGAGACTGAGTTTAACTAACAATTCTTACCTGTCCCTCAGCACATCCAGTGATAATCTGTTTGCTTTCTTCATCAATTAGCAGACTTAGCAAAGGAAATGCTGCTCAAGAAAGAAAGATAAAAGCATTTCTAGAGTAGACAAAAATCAGATATTTAATTAAAATACATGGTCCAAAATTGATTCTTCCTGTTTATAAACACAGGGGAGAAAAGCCTTTACTGCAGTTCTCATGGTTGCACAGAGCTTTGTGTGCCTCAGCCCTTGTGCTGCTGAGGGCTTTCCATTTGCATTTTTCTGCCTGCCACCTAAGCTGCCATGGTAGTGGTTTCCTGCACCCTGCCACCCAAACTGCTGTGGCATAGTTTGCAGACTTGTTTATGAAAGTACACTAAAACTATCCACTGGGAAGCAGACTTGAAAGGAAAAACTATTTACTGTTGGCTTTAAAGGATAATATGTTTACTGCTACCTTGTCTATGAGAATTATTTCCACTAAATCAACCCAAAACTTCTATAATAATCATAGATTATTATTTAGAGATAGGAGGGTTTTGTTATTAAAAATTACATTTAAAAATAGAAAAATTACCTGCTATTATTCCTGACTGATATATTAACTGGCTGGTAGAATAGTCCCACACCTTTAGATTAAAAAAATAAATAAACAAAAAAGATAAAAAGATATAAAAATAGATATCTACTTAGATATTTATGGAAAACACAACTTTTTAACAGCCATCACGTGGTGAAAACAAAGAAATGCAGGCATTGTGATGTTCTTAGGAGAATTTTTTTCCAGCACCTGCTTCCATCTATGAAGGGTTTTGTCCAACTGATAAGCATCACTGGTGAAAAAGGGGAAAAGTCACATGATATGGAAACACAAAGTATCTTCGCTTAGGTTGATCTCAGTGATTTTAGCTAACTTTATGAAAAGGCATACAAAAGAAAGAAAAGAGTGGATGGGTACACTGCATACAGTAACCCAGTCCAATAATCCCAAAAGGGAAAATTCAGAACAGTATCAGCAGATTCAAAGGGAAATGTTTTCCTTTACTTCAGTATACCTGAAACTTTTCAGTTACAGTCAAACTGATCAAAATATTTTATTTCTATTTCCCAGATGATAATAATCACTGAAGTTAATACTTGAATGTGGAAAGTTTTGAATACACAAAACATGCATTTTTCTTTAAAAAAAAGAGTAATTAATATTTGCTATAATTTCCAAAGCAATTCAAAGAAAAATGTCCTTATCTTCATAAAGTCAAAGATATTTTTTACTTAATCTTCAGAGCATATTTGAAGGGGAATAAAGGGGAATAAATAAGAATACTTAAGATTCACTAAATTATTCTTTTTTAAGTTCATCTCTACAGTTTCCTTGCCTTAAAGGTTCTGTCTTCTGACACTGATATGAGCATACTTTTCTCCCATGTGCAAAACTCAGCAGCAGTCACTGGAGCCAGGTGTCCATCCAATTCAGCTAGTATAACTTCATTCTGTGATTAATCAAGTCAAAAATAAAAACAGAATAGATTTCAACATAAAATTTACAATTAAGTGCTTTAATAATTAATAACACTTGCTAAGCATTGTCAGATTTGTTTTCAAAGTATAACTCAGTAAGATTTTTCTTATTGAAACTGAAGCCCTGTATACCATCCTGTTGCCAAAGCCACTACACATTATTTTTCCTTCTTCTGACTAAATGATACAGGAATAGTTTTTCAGATGACCTAAGAATATTTTCTACTTCTAAGTTATTGAGATACTATTTCATTTCAACTGTTTAAACCTAGTCTTCTATCCGATATATGTTGCATTATCAAGCACCAGTTCCTATTTATTTTATGATGCAAAATGAATGTTTTTGCTTAATTTTACTAACATTTCTGTATCATAATTTTATTTGAAAGTGAATAAGCAAAATACCAGTACCATGGCTACAAAGAATGCTATCTCACCTTTGCACTTAACATGTAGATCTGATTTCCAGCGCATACTGCCACTTGTTGATCATCTGGACTAAATCTTATATGAAGCACCATTCCCAAAAGAGTTCCTATAACAATTCCTCGAGGTGTAAACCCTGCAACAATTGTATTGTTAATGAGACTCAATGAAATATAAAAATCTGATGCAATGAGATTCTTAGAAACTTTACATAGCAAACTGTGCAAACTTTACTAGCGACAAAGTTGTTTCAGTTTCTGCCAGGAATATGTACAGAAAAATACACTGTTTAAATACACCAGGGTACTGGAAAGAAAAGCCTAGAACTATGGACACTAGAATTCCTCCATCTGCCCTGTTGCCTAGACATGACTTGGCACTCTTTATGATATTAATAATTCCCATCAAATCATGCTTTCTTGATTCCACTGAAGATTGCCAGGGAATGGATTTTTGGAGTAGGGTGATGTGCCCATGGAACCTACTAGTGCCACGTTCATTTTGGAAGTGAGAAATCCTAACTGAAGCCCAGCAAAACACAGCTTTGAAAAATACTTCTGGGAGAATATGCCAGTCACTCAGCCAAAAAGTAAAGAGGATTTTACTTCTCTGGTTTTAATTTTTCTGTGGGAAAATTCTGAAAGAGAAAGTGCACCACTAAATAGAGGCTAGCTCTGAGAACAGGTCACGTTTCTATCCTGTCCTCATGATTTCATTTTGGTCATCTTACTGGTTCAAGCAGCTTGGTTTCTGCTGATCCCTATTTTATTATGCTGCCTTTAATGATGTGAGGATGGTTTGGATACATCATTAAATTTTAGGATTTCATAGGAAACAGATTATCTAGAATGCAAGCACAACTACAGGTGTCCTTTCAGGCTCTCATATTAGCTGCTGTGGAGTCTTTTTACAATTGATTAACAGGTCAAGGTCACACAAAGAACTCCTTAATTACTTTGACACCATTTATAAGAAATAATATGAGAAAACATGCCAAGAATGTGCAGAGGAGAGTCTGTGGAGACAAAGACTCTATGGCATCTGCTGAAGAGCCTGTAGATGGAGAGAAAATTAAAAAATCAAGCAGCAGACAATCTGGATGCCAAATGCCTTTGTATCAAAACTACACATACTCTTTATGTCTCTGCTACTTTCTGTTCTTATCTTCTATCTTCTATTCCTATCTCCAAATTCATAGTCCCATTTTATTCCCAGTTCCTGAAGCACCCTTTGATTCATTCTCTGTTAGTCTTGCATGGATTAAAATTTAATACTGGCCTTTTTTTTTTTTTTTATAAAAAGCACTGATACTGTTAAACTTTTCTTTACAACATTAGTCTTCATATGATATAGATTTGCACAGTCAAAGTGGAGCAGAGTACAAGAGAACTCCTTCACATTAAGTCATCAGCAAATCTCTAACTATAGGTGACAAGGAGGAAACTTTTAATAGTGTGGGACAATGCCATGCAATTTTAAATACTGACCAAATACCAAAAGGGGACAAACTGCCACTGGGAATCCAGTGAATCATGACTCTGGGAATCTTGCTCTTTTTTTCTTTTCTTTTTTTTGCTTTTTTTCATTATTCTTCTACTTTCCAGTTAATTTACGCTTACAGAGAGGTTGATATTAAATTCTAATGCCATTGGCTGAGGCTCCAAACCAAAATGGTGGTCAGGATAGAGGGTCATGCACTCATCTCCCAAATCAGATACTTGTATTGGTCTCTCACACGTTTCACAGATGAAAACAATGTTCCAGAGACAGGAGAGGCAAAGCAGGATAGAAAACACTAGTTCCACAAGTATTCCCGAAAATGAAGTATTTTGCCGTTGCATGTTTAATTATACAGTACTGCTATGATGAGTTTTTATTCTGTCTATTTTATTCCACAGTGGCAGAACGCCACTGCCTCTTGCAGTGTGTGTCTGTGTTTGCCCCGAGGTTGCCGGCAGGCTCTGGTTCCCGCACAGCACCTCGGCCAGCTCCCGACCCCGCTCAGCATCGCCGCGGGGCCGCTGCCGCCCGGGGCCGGCGGCTGTGACAATGACAGGACTGGCTGTGCCGCCGGCCTGGCTCAACCCGGCACTGCCGAAGAAGAGCAGGAGAGAAACGCAGAATTAATATGGCTGTCCATGCTGCTGAATCTAAGCGGCTGAGGCGTGCTTCTCAGAAATAACAATCTTGTTATACAAGAACCAGTGGAGAAAAGGAGGTGTTGGGGTGGCCTTCCAGGGTGGCTGTTGCTCAGAAACTGGCTGGACACTGGTCTGAGTGATTGGTGGCGACTGGCTGCCTTTGCATCACTTCTTTGTTTATACATATGACACATATATATTATATAAACAATACCTTCTTGCACTTTCTGTGTACATTCATCAAGATTCCACACTATCACACGTTCATGAGAGGCAGAGCAGACAAGAAGCGGATTGATTTTATTTCCAAATGACAATGCAGAAATTGAGTCATGATGGCCTGACAAATATAATGGCTGACAAATGTAGATAAAGAAGAGTTAAATGAAAAATTTCAAACAAAGATTATGAATAATGAAACTACAAATGGATAATGGACATGAAATTAACAAAATATTTTTTATCTACAGCTTCAAAACATCTAAACTACAATGTAGCTGTTTGGGTGGGAGGGAGTTAACTTTTTCACAGCAGCTTGCATGGCTTTGGATTTTGTGACAAAAACAGTCATGATAACACAGCAATGTTTTGGCTGTTGCCAAATACTGTTTGCACAGCATTGAGGCCTTCTCTTTTTTCCCACTTTTTCTCAGTTTTCCCATCCTAATAGTAGGCTGAAGGTGCATAAGAGGTTGGGAGGGGACACATCTGGAACAAATATTTCAGTTTGCTGAACTGGCAAAGGGATATTCCCTACCATATGATGCTATGCTCAGCAATAGAACTGGGGTATTGGGTGCAACAAGGTGTTGAGGGCCTGGGACATTGACTTTAAGGTGGCTGTTGCTCAAAGCCTTACTGGGATTAGTCTGGTTGTAGGGGGTGGTGACTGCTTTGGTATAGCTTTTTTCTTTCTCTCTCCTTCACTCATTAAACTACCTTTATCTCTACCCTTGTCTTCTCACTTTTTCCCATCCTATGGGAATTCCCTCTCCCCTACCCTGCTGGGGAGCAGTCAGCAGGAGAATGGGTAAAGCTTTGGCTTTAGTTTAGTGCTTTATCTGCCAGCCAGGGCCAACCCCCCACAAAAGCTTAGTTTATTCATATCACAATAAAAAAGTTCTTAACAAATGCTAGTACCTTTCCAGCATTGAAGAGAAACCTGACATTTCTACATTACCTTCAAATATTTCATTTATAAATTAATTTAAAGCAGCAGCCTATGAAGAGCTCTATTCTAGCTTTACCTGAGCAGTGGCTGTGTTCCAGACGCACAACTCATTGCGACTCACAGGGAAAGCACAGTGGTTGTGACTGCACGCCAGCTGAAAGAGGGGCTCTGGCAGTCTGCCTTTAAACAAGTGTTTTTCGCAGACAACCTCAGGATCACGGCCTCCTCCACAGGCGCAGCGGGCCCCGGCGCCCTCCATCCTGCGGCTGCGAACGGCCCCGCGGCGGAGCTGGACCACCAGGGCCTCCTTCCCCCGCCGGCTGCGTCCTGACCGCGGGGGCCTAGGGCTCTCGGCCCCGCTCGGGGCT